TGGAGAGCTTTTGAAATCCTCCGAGTGAGAGTCGACTCGTGACTGATTGGGGTCGAGGAGGTTGTGTTGTGGCTGGTACGGAGGACGCTGCTTAGAAAAGAGACGCACGCTGGAGAGTCTGAGAGAAGAGATGGGTTTTTGGTGCAACGGCGAGGTCAGGAATTTGTTTCTCCAGCTGATTACAAACAGCATGCAGGTATACGGACATGAAAAAAAAAAAGGACAGAAGGTCATCGACAGCGACCTGACGGAGGGGAAGCTGATTGACTGCAAGAGTGAACACAAGAGTCTTCATGTATGCCCAGCAGCTGGTGGGTTACTTTGATTTTTGATGGCAACAGGTAATAGAAAAAACCAAAGCATCAGCACATTGTGCAGCCAAAGTGGCTCAAGATACCGTTAGTGTTGATCGTATGTCAACAGGGCAGAGCTCGGCAGAAACTTTCAGATTGATTTGAAACAAACAAGATCAGTTAATCAAATATTGTGTGGGTTGTGGACTGTTTTTCTTCCGTGCATTCTAAACTGTGCCACCTGTTTGTTTCTCTCCTGCTCTCTGTGCTCACATAAACTGTATTTTCACATATGAATACCCAGTAAAGCTTTTATCATTTACATCCCATTTTTTTTATGTTTCAGTTGTTTGAACAAATATGAGATAGTGACAGAAACTCAGCTCATTAACACTACATGTTAACTAGAACCATTTCCAAGCTGCTACACTTCTAATTTTATCAAAACATTGTTCAACAAACTCAGCATACTCAAGTCACAACAAATAAAAATCAATTCTGTGATATTTCCATGTGAAACGATGGTTCAGAGAGAAGGTTAGCAGCAATAGCAAGCCTTTTTTTTTTTACGCATTCAGATCTGTGATGGTATGTGATTAACTGTAACACTCCACACTGTCAATCACAGATGCAGAGAGAGTTGAAATGAAACATCTTCGCAGTATTTTAAGCTGAAAAATTGAAAGACACATTCTAGGGACATACAAGACTTTAATTCATTTGCTATAAATCTGCAGAATATGGGACCTTTAAATCAGTTTCATCAAGCAATGTGATGTTGTTTTTGTCTCAACAGCTGCAGCAAAACTACCAGGAAAGTGAAGGACGTCCAAGTGTTCACCCACAGTCCTGAGAAAAGGTCTAATCATGCTACATGAAGCAGCTGGGCAACGACCAGGCTTCCAGATGGAAATAAGGTGTTTCGGGCTCAAACATTGCAGATGATTTATCCACCTAAGAGAAATGCAAATTCGTGTTAGTGGAAGCTTTAACTCTCTGATTAACTACGCTGCGGTTTGCTTCTAAATCATACACATGACACCATCCGCTGCAGCGTGGCTATATCGCGCAAAACGGCCGAAGATAGGCTTTAAATCCTGAAAGCATCTGTCAGATCTTGGCACCGCTGCCTACAAGAAAACATCAGTCACTCACAGCTTGATTGTCCCTACAGCTTGAACCATATGTTGAGGATTAATTGACGAGTTTGGTTCTAAATGGAAACGCAGGACTGCAACACTGAAACAAATAGCTGCTATTAAATATTTAAGCTGGCTGCAAAGAAAGAAGCAAATCATGGGTTTTTATTGAATTTATGACTCGTGTAAAGTCATTTGCTTACAAAGTGGATTTATGAAGGGCTGCTTAATTGAGCAACAAAGATCTGATTAAATACTAGATTGTATGCAAATGTTGAACTTGCAAATATTTTTTTAAAAAATGCAGCTTTTCTGTTGGAGCAGCAGAGCAGCAGTGAAAGACACTGAAAAGCTGAAGGTCATCTGTGATGCTGTGTGATCAGCACAACAGGATTAATGCTGTGAAACATGAAGACATGGGCACTCTTCAAGAAAAAATGTTCTATGAAATAAAATATTCAGCCATCCAGATGGGGCCAGTTTCTAAAAAATTTGTCCATTATTGGTGCAATAATGTAAAATTAAAAAGCAACAGGACTCAGAGTTTCAGTGTGTCCATCTAACTTCAGGCTGTGCAGCGAAGCGTCGCTCAAACCCACAGAAGTGTATTTAAATTCTAGTGGAGATCCCAGAGTTTCCAAAGATACCAATTACTGTGTGTCAGCCTGTATTTTGGAGACGTGTGAGAAATGATGCACTGAGACATCTGGATTATATTCATATGATGGCATAGTGCAGCCAGAAAAGAGGCACTGTCTTGGGTTGAACATGTCACTCAGTTTAGATAGTTAGGCCCATCATATATTTATATCATACAATTCAAAACTCAAGTCACTCATTTCTGAGAAAAGAGAATGAGGCCAGGGCTGCAAGGTGGTGAGGTGGTTAGCACCGTTGCCTCACAGCTAGAAGGTCGCCGGACGGATCTTTCTGCGTGGAGTTTGTATGTTCTCCCCGTGCAGCGTGGGTTCTCTCCAGGTTCTCCGGCTTCCTCCCACAGTCCAAAAACATGTTGAGGTTAATTGGTGATTCTAAATTGTCCGTAGGTGTGAATGTGAGTGTGCTTGGTTGTCTGTCTCTAAGTGTAGCCCTGTGATAGACTGGTGACCTGTCCAGGGTGTCCCCTGCCTTCACCCTAAGTCAGCTGGGATAGACTCTCGTGAGGATAAGGCGGTGTATAGATATGGATGGATGGAGAATGAGGCCAAATGTGGGGTCACATGCCATGTTCCTTCAGGGTTTGTAGCTTTAAATGCAACTTCTTACTCCCTACTTCAGGGGTGTCCAATCCTGGTCCTCGAGGGCCACAGTCCTGCATGTTTTAGATGTTTCCTTCTTCCAACACACCTGATTCAAATGATCAGCTCATCATCAAGCTCTACAGAAGCCTGATAATGATGCTGATGATTTGAATCAGGTGTGTTGGAAGAGGGAGACATCTAAAACATGCAAGACTGTGGCCCTCGAGGACCAGGATTGGACACCCCTGCCCTACTTCCTACTCACTATGTATAGTGAACTATGTAGGGAGCAGCTCTGCAAAGTAATATTTCGGACAATAGATCAAGCTATTAATTACGTCGCTCGCTTGCTAGCTGCAATTTGTGCCGTAGCAGCAGTTTATTGCATAGCTAAGAAACGGGTAAAATAAAATTCAACAAAACATAAACGGGAAATTACTTACGTTTTAAGGACAAGTTTTCGCACTCTTGCTAGTCTAGTTTGCATTTCCTTTCACACAATGCATGATGGTCCATATTGCTCAGTTAGTGACCATCAGCTGTACACTACTTGACAATGTGGGATATTTTGAGTGCACTATATACGGTGTAACATTCGTAGCTTATCATTCGGACAGCGCTACAAATTGGCTAACACCCTATATAGTGCACCACATAGGGTATAGTGGGTGATTTTGTGATTTACAGTGAGGAGATAAACAACACAGGTAGTGACTTACACGTCAATGAGTGTGTGAGGTGAGGCCTTTCTATCACTTCTAACTTTGTCCTCGAGCGATAATTTTACATGGAAATGTCACCAAATTCACAGCCTTTTTAAAAAATACATGTGTGTTTTGAGATTGTCGGGTAATGTTATAAATTCAGTAGTTCAGTTGTGCAGAGCAGCAGCCTGGAAATATCTCTGAGAAGACTGCTGGTCTGTATGGTATTTACTTCAGGTACATTTTGATACTTGTTACGTTGTCTAAAACAGAAACAGAATTATATGTAAATGAGAACACGACAAATTGGGAGTTTTTCTGTATTTAAAGGCAGCATATGTGAGCACAGAGAGCAGGAGAGAAGCAAACAAGATGAGTTTAAGTTGCACCGAAGCACAACAAGGGACATGAAAACACAATGACCCACTCAGTCTTTATTTATTGGTTTCTAATCTTTTCATCATCTCTAAATGACCCCCAGCTACAATTTCCACAGATCTGTGGCTATACCATCACATCACAGCTGATGGCACCGTTAGCCACACTAGCTGCACAATGCACGAACAAGAAGGATTTTCTGATTGTCTGAAAATCAAAGTAATCCACTGGGTGTCCAGTTCCTCAGACACGAGGAGTGCATGAAGACTCTTGTGTTCACTCTTGCATCCAACAGAGGAATGTGTGTTTGCAGCTGTGACCTTTAGGAGTTCGCAAAAGCAGCTTCAGAAAGTGAACAAACCTGGTGAACTGTGAGACAACTGCTTTTTTCTGAATTTCTCATCTGTTATAAAAACAAGTTTTAGCACTACGACTACTGGAACGTATCAGCTCAGTGGAGTTCTGACTGGTGTGTTAAGCTGGGAGGACGTCTAGCTGCTGTCATATCTTAAATGTTTTAGTTTTTTACCTCTAAGTTTATAACAACCACAAAACCCATCCATCCATCATCTATACACCACTTAATCCTCACTAGGGTCGCGGGGGGGCTGGAGTCTATCCCAGCTGACAGGTCACCAGTCTATCACAGGGCTACACTTAGAGACAGACAACCAAGCACACTCACATTCACACCTACGGACAATTTAGAATCACTAATTAATCTCAACATGTTCTTGAACTGTGGGAGGAAGCTGGAGAATCCAGAGAGAACCCACGCTGCACGTTGAGAACGTAAACTCCACACAGAAAGATCCCAGGTGTCCTCACCGGCACGCGAACCGGCGACCTTCTTGCTGTGAGGCAATGGTGCTAACCACCTCACCACCTTGCGGACCACCACAAAACCCAATTTTTAAAAATCCCCACAGCCTGTGGGACCTTTAACTTGAAGCCACCTCAGTTCTACCTACACTTGTTGCTTCACTACTGTGACATCCTTCTAGATAATAACATCGTTACATTTTCTTACTTGTTTTACCAAACGCCAGATCTATGGCAAATCGAGTCTAAAACTGCAGATGTTGACTCTGTGATATTTTTTTGTTTCCAGATACTGTGACTGAGCGGATCTCGGTCCATTTGCGGTGCAGTGCAGCTTTAACAGGTCCATCATGCCTTGCGGTGTCCCAGTTCTGTTCCGATGTAATTTACAAGTGCGGGTCTCCGTCAGTGCTGGGCAGAGCAGCGGCTCGCAGGCAGGAAGGCAGATGTTGGCGGCGCCCTGCTCGGATGTCCGATGAGCGGACGCACTCGTGTTTACATCAGACACGGATCCCGGGAGGCGGAGATGTGCGCACACCGTCAAGTCTGAGGATCGGCACGGAAATAAACACGGATCTCCCGCGAGTGGCCCGCATCACACGGCGTGGAAAGTGGCGGATTTCTTTTTTTCTTTCCCCTCAGACACCAACAGGAGAGTTGCACATGCAGTGATCTGCGCTACACAGAGGTATGTTGTTGTTGTTTTTATTTTGGCGCAGTGAATGCGTCAATCACATTTCAAAAGCAGCTGATCAAGACTGAAGGCTGCTCTTATATGAGTTCACTGCCTTTTTTTTTGTATTACATGCATGTGATGGGAAATAAATCAGAGGGGACAGTAAGTTTGCAGATTTGCTCATGCTTAAAAAAAAAAGGAAGCACATCCTTTATGTTCTCGCCTGGACACAACATATCCATGAGGCAGCAGTTAGTGAGTGTATGAGTGAGTGGTCAGTGGATCTGCTGAGCCCTGCAATGATGAATCTCCTAATAGAGTTGGGCTATAAGCGCCCACTCAGCACTGCTTTTAATCAGAGTTCCTTCAACTGAGTCACACAGCCACAGACCCACAAGTCCTTGACGAGCACACGTGTGATCGGAAGCAAGGACAAACTCCTAAAAAACACTCCCCTGCACAGAAACACAATGAAAAATCAATGCATTTCTTCATTTGTGCACAGAGTGTTGGTTTAAATTGCCTGTCGCCTTCGTTTTGCTGCTGAACTGTTGTGTCCTGAGCTCAGTTTGTGTGACAGAATGGGACATGTGCAAGTGTTTTTCCTCTCATTCTGCTCTTCCGTTAAAAAGCAACAACATATTCTTAATAATTTTAAAATCCTGCCCCTACCTAATACCTCATGTCTTAATATCTTGGTTTATTTCCTATAGATGTTTTTTTTAACTATAATAATGCACTTTGACAACATAACGTGTAAAACTGTGCCCATCTGACCAGGGTTGCTCACTTTCAGCAACTCTTACGCATTTTTCAGTTGTTTCAGCTACTTTTATTGCACTTCTGGCGTCAAAATACAAATAAATCCCTGTCGCAAATTCCTAAAACCTGCAGGGCATGATTTCAATATCCCAAAAATATCCAGTTTACTATCACAAGACAGAAAAGACTCACAAGAGAGATGCTGGAACTAGAGGGAACTTTGCTGGAAAATAACTCTTCAACAGCGAGATAGCGATAAAGATTAAATACATTTAATGTGATTTTCATACTTTTCTTTCGCACTCTGACCCCAAGCAGTTTCTAGTTGGTTATTTTTCCTCCTGTCTACTCACTGTGGGCTCTTCTTTTTTTTTTTTTACTGCACTATAAAGTCCTTCACCTCTACAGAAACAAGTCAACAATGGCTAGAAGTAGAGAAAACAAAAGTTGAATTGCTCTGATTGCTTATTTTACACAAAATGTCACCAGTGTTGGGGGAAAAAAAATGTGGCTGTAGATCCTGAAGATATTTTACATTTTGAATTTGTTTCCATACTTCTCTATCGACTAAGTGCAGCCTGCAGTTCATCCAAATAGTCTCTGAATATTTGCAGTGTGACTGTTGGTCGCAGCAGAGTTGCGAATGACTTAGCAGTTGTGTTAAGAAGTGTAGATTTTTTTTGTTTTTTACAGAATATGGTTATTGCAAACTGTGTACTTTTGGCCGAAATTAAAATGAAGCTTGTGGAATAAGGTGATTTTAATGACATGTCATAATTCTCAGCTTAGATTCGGTTCATCTCGGTCACACATTTTTCATCCAAGAACTGTTGGAAAGTTGAAAATCTGATGTTTTTTTCTGGTTTTGCAATTCCCAGCTCTGGCAAAAGGTGCATGTTTGGTTAATTTTAAAATATACCATGCCCTTCAAACCCCCCAGGTTTTCAGGTTCAGAGGGTTAAAATAAACTTCCATCCATTTAGGTTCATAGCTCCATTAACACAACCCACATTGGTCTTCTTCTTCAGTTATATTTTTATCCAAATGATTGGCTCCAGTGTGTAAATGCATCATCCCATGTCGTCAGCGTTTCCCTGTGAGATCAGACCTGTGCGACTGAAGTGGAAAACTCTTAACAGACTTTGCGGTGTAAATCCAGTCCTGTTTATCTTTCAGCAGACTCCCCCCTCCCATCACCTTGTGGTCAGCTAAGCTCCGAGTCTTACAGGCTTATTGTCTCCACCAAGCTGATTAGTTGTAACTTTTGAGACTGCGAGGTGGCACTTTGGTCACTCGACTTCAATATGGTGATTGTTTAGTGGTCAAATAATAAATATCTGGTTGGGTTAAAGGCCCCGCCAAAGGCTGCATGTTTGTTCACCAGGAAATCATGCATTGTTTCCTGTAGAATAGACGACTGACTGCACCTGAATGCAAAACTGTTCTTTCTGATCACTGCTTGAAATTTGCTGCTCAGCTTTAGCTAAACCTACAGCCACCTCGCTGTCTTCAGCTGACAAAGTTGATGTAGAGGTTAATCTCTAAAAGACAACGAGCAGCACACATACCATGATATTGAGCCAGAGGTATAAAATGAAAGGTCACAGGAGACTGAAAGGTTTCAGTCTTAAGGCTGCAGTATGTATTACCAGCTGTAGGAGGATCAGGACTGTCTGGTGGAATCTAATAGCATTAGTGTGTTCGCATCAGGAGAACCAGGGAGGATGAGCGGGATGCGAAGGTTTAGAATGAAGGCCGTGTGCCAACTAAAAGCACAAAGTCATGAGTGTGTTGCTGCATATGTGAGGGCCACTGAGCCTGCAGGATATTCCATTAAGAAAAGTGACATCTTGTCTCAGGACAAAGGTCAAAATCTAATTTCATTTGCTCTTTGTATCTGAAATACCTGCTGACAGTAGCAGTTCTCGTGGCTATTTTAGCCATGCTAGCAGCATGACTGTAGAGGTGACAATGTCACTCACAATGAAGCATCTCAGCAGCTATTGGATGGATCGCCATGACATTTTATAAAGACGATCGTGGTCCCCAGAGGATTAATCCTGGCAATGTTGATCGTTTTAAAATTTCCCTTTAGAATCACCATGTGGTTAATGTTGTATTTGTCTTGAATATTCATGCTCAACTCAGGAGGCCTTTTAGCCAGAAGGTCAAAATGTCATTTTTCTAACTGTACTTTGATTAATAATGAAATATCTTTAAGCACGCTAACAAAGGTTAGCATTTAGCTCAAAGCACCAGAGCATGTTTTGTTTATTCATCGAGGGAACGGCATTTCTGTGAGAGTCATTTCAGGGTATTTGAAGCTCCCCTCCACTCAGATGTGTTTTTGCTTCTCCTGAGTGTTCGAGCTTCACTCTGCGGAATGAGGTACGTTCAGATTTTGGCTCGTGAAAGTTTGTTCTCTAATTCATCTGCTGGAAGTGGAAAGTTTCTCTGCTCTGAGTTGATTTATGAGCAGGATTTGTGACCTCACAACTAGTTTAGGAGCCGTGCCTGGTCCAATAAGCAACTTACACAAGTGTTTTAGTGGAAGCTGCAAGTCTGAGAAAAGACTTCCAGTGAAGACATCTGAGGTCACAGAGGTCGGGACCTGACGACAATTTTTTTTAAGAGCTAAATATAATATTTAAAGCCTAATACAACAGGATTAAAACAGATCTGCAGTTGAGAACGTCTTTAGCCTTGTTATTCAGTGTGTGAGAGAGGATGTGCAGCCCCTTGCATCATCAGTGTTTCCACTAACCTCAGCAGAGACACCTGCAGATAACTGATGGCGGCAGCAGGTGGCCCGTGAGTGAACTGCCAGAGAGACAAAGCAATGATGGATTTATGGTTATCTGTAAGAAACAGTAACCTGGGGCAACGTCTGGAGTAAAGGCGGCTGTATGAAGCATGTTAAATATGTTATATTGCTTGAGAAATTCATAATAATAATAAGGCCTATGAAGCATTTCAAAGCCAAGTTTGGAAACTAATGTGACTAGGTTATGATTATTTTCATTGTTGATAAATGTGTCAATTATATTCTCGATTGATCCAATAGTTTGACTATAAAATATCAGAAAATGGTTAAAAATACCAGTTTGTGTTTCAAAAAGCCCAAAATATTGTCTATAAATGTATTGTTTTGTCTAATCTGCCAAAAAATATCCAATTAACTGTCACAGAAGGATTTAGGAAGCTGAAATCAGGAACTGACTTGACGTTTTTCCTTAAAATAAGTATTCAAACCAGTTATCAAAATAGTTGGTGATTTATTTGATAGTTGACAGCTAATTGATTTACTGATTAATCCTTGCAGCTCTAATAGTGACATTAACTTATAGTTGTGCAACTCTCAAGCATTCTTCTGTTATTTTTCTGTTAACTAGGGTTATTTGTAACCGTTGCAAGTACAAAACAAAATCTAAAAACATCACCAAAATCTTATCTAGCAACAAAATGTCATCATAATCTCAGTTACAGTTACTTGGATGCGCCAATTGTTTGTTTCATGGACTGTTTTCAGTAGATTTGAAGAACATACAACCAGGTAGTTTGTTATGGAAAAACCACATCCAACACATTACTTCAGTTACTCAAGGCAGAATATTTTTATGCATCTTACACAATTTAGTTTTTATGTGATCCAGATGTTGGTATTCTGCCTTTGAGCTTGAGATAAAGTCTTGCTCCAGCAGGAGTCAACAACACCTCACTTCGTTCCGAGAGAGAGAAACCCCGCTGCTGCACACACCTCCACGTTTCCTCGCGGCCCGCATTCAGGGGAGACAAAGAGGAAGCGGCAGGAAAGCACGGGCTGCTTCTTAATTGTTTGCTGATTGTTTGGCCTCCTTTCCCAGACCGGACCCTCCAATCAATCCAGTCATCTGTGTTAGGCTTGGACAAAGCCAGGGCTGCGTCGCCATGGTGAAGGATTGTTTGCATCCAGTCATGCCGCTTTGCCATGTGGGCTCACAGAGACGCACACTACAGCATGCTCTTTTGTTTTGTGAGCCCCTTGTTTCAGCGGGACCCCCTTCCTGCCTGCACAACCTCCTTAAAAGTTTGCGTCCGATTGCATCATAGCTGTTGTTGAGCTGCTCGTTACTGCTGCCACGTGTGAAAGTCACTTCCAAATATTTTTTGACCGACATTTGTGGTTTGTTTGTATTTTTTGGTCAGAAATCTGATTTTTTTCCCATCTGTTTATTGTTGGACGTCAGCCAGACAAATGAGCAAATTTAAAG